GCCAGGTCTTTCCCGTACTGCGAACTCAAATAGAATGCTAGCACCTTCATGGTTCCCATGGTCAGAAGTCATTTCTCTCTCCTATTACTCCCACAGCACTTTAACCACACCCTTACCATAACACGTACCACATTCCCCCTTGTATTTTAGCAACTGATATAAATGACTCATTAATCCTGCCTGACAAGATTCTTTAAATATTATCATATTATCTCTGTTATGCCACACAATGACTATAATTGTATCTGACACAGACCTGGGGCTCAGTAATGGCTTTTGAAAAGACCCTTGATTACAACTGCCATTGTGAACTTCAAGTTCGTAAGGCATCAATAAATAATCCAGACTGCCAATGTATTCATATGCAATGAGAGCTAGAACTGCCAAGGCACTAGGGGGCTCATCTCAGGTTAGCCAGCATATTTTTTCCTATTAGAGGAAGCACATATGGAAAGCTAAATTAGGATCAGAAGGTTGCTTGGGAAGCAAGGAGAATAAGTTGGGCAATTTTCGTGAACAGAGCAACAGGCTAAATGGCTTGATCATAAAACTACACCCACTACAGGGCCAGACTCTCCTGTTCTCAGCTCTGGGCTTCATCTTTGCTTAGTGCTCCATCAATACTGACAAATTTTTCCTTTATGACTATTTGTCTATTTCCACCCTAACTATTCTCTCCTTTTTAAATTTTTTTATCATTTATTTTGTCATTCTCAGCCCTGGCTGCATTTTAAAATCACCTGGAGAAATCTCAAAAACCCTGATACCTGGGCCATTCCCGAGGACCAATTAAATCAGACTTTCTAGAGGTGGGTCTCAGGCCTCAGGATTTTTGATAGCTCTCCAGGTGATTCCAAGATGCAGCCAATGTTGAGAACTAGTACTATATTGATAAAATTTTTGCTTACCTATGTTAATATCACCAAGCAGAAAACAGACAAGTCCAACATTTCCTGCCTTTTTCCCTGATATCATATGTTCTCTCCACCCCCCTCTCCTGAGGATACGTGATCTCACCTATTCTGTGGTGTGTCTACTAATTTAATGCCTAGGTTTCTGGAGACGCCTTGTCTTCACCCAAATGGAAGGCTTTCAGGCAGTATCTCACAGGCCTCCAGTGCAGCACATTGTTAGGTCTATCAGCACAGTAAGGTAGGACAAAATACTTTTAACATATACAACAGGCAGAAGGATTCAATATTTTATTATTACCATCAGTGTTTGACAGAAATGAGGTGGGAAGCAGCTGGAACCAAGAGGTAAAGAGTATATCCAAAAATATCTTGAGTGCTAACTTCTTTGTGGTTCACTATGTGGGTCCACCACGTGATAGAAAAATGAATCAGAAAAAGATCAATCCCTCATGCTGAGAATTTGACGTGGTTCATACGATGTAAACTGTGCTTTGTACCATGAGAGATAAAGATGCTATGAGAGTTGGGGGGATTGGGATTGGGGTGGGGAGTGATTTCTAGCCAGGAGATTATGAGAGGCTTTGTTTATGGGAAAGGAACCTTGTTTATTGGAACCTTTGATTATGGGAGAGTAGGTGGCATTTAAGCTGGGCCTGGGAGTCAGGGTAAGATTTGAAGATGTGGGACTAGGAGGAAGGGCATTCTCAGAGGATATGGCCTAAGCAAAGATGAAAAGGCGTGAAACTGCGGAGGATGGGCAGTAGTTCCATTTCCTTCCTACATGGAGGAAAATAGAAGACATTAATATTTGAAATATTCTGTCATTCTGGTAGTTTTGGAACTATTCCCCATCAAAGATTTGGTTAAATCTTGACCAGAAATTATGAGAGTTCAGTTGTCTGATGTTTAACATTCATAATCTGATGTATGTGTCCAAAGGGTTGGGTAGTAGATGCAGAGGCCTCACTCATGCATTTATATATTTCAGTCTTGAAAGGCCCCAAATTAAATTATAGAAGGGAGAAACTGGAGATAAAGAGATCAGCCATTTCAATGGTAGTGATAGTATTTTTCTGTGAGGTGCAATTTTGGTCACCTGCCATTTCCTATACTATTATTTTACCTTAATAAAAAGAAGATAACACCAGCCCTGTGCAAGTTAAGAGTAAATTTGGGTCTGATGATGAGAAATATCTCTGTTAATAAGAACGGAGCAATCTGTGCAAGTCACTCCTCAGGAGTCTGGGGAAGTGGCAACCTGCCAGCTCAGCTGCACACAGAGCCCAGGCGGCCCCACAGCTGTCTCTCAGCACTGCCAGCAGCCATTACCGTGGCAACGGCCCCTCCCAGGAGAGCAGCTCAGCCCACTGAAACCATCCATCATTTAAAAATCAACACAGATGATTCCAGATGAGATCCTGTGCAACAACCACAAAAATCTTTTAGAACTGTCCTTTCTAAGGACGTAATTCAGACAATATAGACTGTGAATTCGATGGGTGATTCTCAAAATTCAGTATGCTTTGGGCTCATTTGGCGGGCTTGTCAAAACACAGATTGCCAGAACCCCACCCCCAGAATTTCTGATTCAGTGCAGCTGGCTGGGGTAGAGGCAAAGAATCCGTACTTCTAGCAAGTTCCCAAGTGAGGTTGGGGTCACACTTTGAGAACCACTGGGTTACATACTAGCATTGTATCACTGTTGATTTCCTGATTTTTGATTGCTGTACTAGGGTTATGTCAAAGAATGTCCTTGGTCTTAGAAAATACTCAAAGTTGTATTATATTTAGGACAAAGGAGTATCATGTCTGAAACTTATTCTCAAATGGTTCATTAAAAAATGTAGATAGAAAGATAAAGCAAATGTGGAAAAATAACAATTTGGGAAATCTGGATAAAGGGCATATGGAAGTTCATTGTGTTATTCTTGTAACATTTCTGGTAGTTTAAAATTACATTAAAATTATAAATTTTTTCAATTAATACAGGGAAAGAAAGTTATAGCAATATATACCATGTATGTCTAATATGGTAGCGAGAAGCCACATATGGTTATTTATATTTAAATTAATTACATTTAAATAAAATTTAACATCCAGGCCCTCAATTGCACTATCCGCACTTCAAGTGCTAAAGAGCCATGTATATGACTAGTGACTACTATATTAGACAGCACAAGTATAGCCCATTTCCATCAGCACAGAAAGTTCTGTGGAATAGTGTTGACTACAGTTTAAAATATTCTAAGACATGGAAAGAGTCTTTGAAAAAGTCAATGTCCTAAAAGCAGCAATAGAGATAGCAGTAACAGTTTAAGCAGTATGAGTCAGTTGTTTCTAAAATAACAGTTTATTAACTGAAGGAGGCTAAAGAAGAAATATGATGAAATTATAGCAGGTGGATCATAGTATGCAACATATGCATATGCAAGTATCTTTAGCTTTGCATGAATTGGTGACATATTTGCCAGAGTAACTATTCAATATTACTGCTCACACCTGTCATCATCTTACTGATTTTGTCAACAATCCATTGGATGATGGACAAGCAGATATCCTAAATGACCTGGTTCTTCTCCACTCACCCTCTGCCCCGTCCACTTTCCTTCAAGCAAAGCAGGGTCAAGACATAGATGGAAAAATACCCAGAAAGGCCAAGGCTGACCTGAAGGGGAATGGCCAAGACATGGAATATTTCAAACTTGTTCAGATATTTTAACTTGGCTATTGGTTTCATTTTGGGTGATACATCAGCTAATGTGTAAAGCAGGCAAGGTTGTTTTCGCTGCTATCCCTTTTCCTTCTGAGCTTCTTTTCTTTCTCCTGTCTCTTCTTTTTTCTCTCTCAAACAAATGGCACCTTCAAGTTAGGTCGAGTTGTCCAAAGTTTCTGGCCCAAACAGGACTGTCATCTACTCTAAAGAGCATCTTTTTTTCCTCATGTCTTTTGGGCTCCAGCAACATCCAAGTGATAAGCTGACTTCATCCTAAAGTATGAAAAGCACCAAATTCTCCCAAGGTGCATTTGGCTAACCCTAGCTTCCATAATATTCTGGGAGATACTTTTTGAGCATAGTCATCTTTGGGTATTCTCTGCCTGACCCAACCCCTGTCAATCCCCTCTCCATAACCTCTCAGTAGTAAACACACAGATCCACACTGCATCTACACATGTCCATTTTCCCCTCTCCCGCTTCTCTAAGCAGCTTCACACTCCCTTGGGGCTCAGTAAATACACAGCTATTACTTGGATAGAACTCAGAGTGGTTGGAAAAATTGTAAATACCTCAAGCTGTAAACCACAAATTGATAAATATGAGGAATTCTTGTGGGGAAAAAAGCCATACTTCCATTTCTAAACTTCCACTGAAGAAATTAAACCATAGAGCTGGAATTCAAAACTCAGGACATGTACCTCTACTCTAACCAAGCATCTGTTAGAGCATTTAAATGTCCATCTAAGCATTAGACCATTCTAGAAGGTCTGCCCCTCCCCCATCAAAACATTGTTGAAGCATTCTTCTGCAGTAATTTCTCTTTTTTTGTTTTTTTCTTAGAGATAGGGTCTTACTCTATCACCCAGGCTGGAGCACGACGGCATGGTCACAGCTCACTGAAGCCTCGAACTGCTAGGCTCAAGCAATCCTCCTGCCTCAGTTTCTCGGCTAGCTGGAACTACAGGCTCATATAACCACACCCTGCTAATTTTTAAATTTTTCTGTAGAGATGCGGTGGGGGGGAGGTCTCACTATGTTTCCTAGTCTGGTCTCGACCTCCTGGACTAGCAATCCTCTCACTTTGACCTCCCAAAGTGCTGGGATTACAAGTATGAGCAACCACACCTGGCCTCCTCCTTAAAATATATTCGTTTTTACTGAGTTTGCCAGTGGAGGGAAAAACCCTTCCTTAGAAACAAGTTTTGTCAATTATCTACAGATAATCATTCTTAGCTGCAAGACATGGGATCCCAGGTCTTTATAGTTCAATTTACGGTTTGATAATTGGACTTTTAAGATCTCTTTATAGAAGGCTTTTTACCATTCAGCATATTTTTATAAAGACTTCCAAGAGAAAAGGAGAGTCTCACCTCACAGTACTCCGTGATAATGCAGAAATTATCTTGCTCCACAAAACTTGCATGGAACTTGACAATGGCTGGGTGGTCCAGCTTGGAGAGGAGCTGGGCTTCCAAATTGGCCTGCACAGTTTCATTTGGATTTAGTTCTCCAACAGATATTTCCTTAAGTACCTTTCTGCAGTCAAAAAAAATTTTTTTAAACATTTACAGCCAAAAAACACATTTAACAAATATCATCAAGTGGTACAGAGCCACTAATTAATGCCCAGGTTGTGACCTACTCATATATCTGGTATTGCCTATTATGACACTGTGTCTCCTGGTGGGACCTGGGCCTGTTTTCCTGTCCTGCTTCCCCAAGGCCTCTGACCTCCTCATCTGTGTACCCTACAGTTCTATAAGGGCAGACATGGAACTAATCTTGAGCAATATTGCTGGGGTGGCCCTTCCTCCACCTCTCTAGATGTTTCAGTGTCTCTTGGTTTCTCTTATAGTTATCTATTTCTGTCTGTCTCTTTCTATGTGTGTTCACACACACACACACACACACACACACATATATGTAATCCATCACTCTGTATCTTATTCTTTCTTTGCCTCTTTCCTTCTCTGTCTCTGCCTCTTTGTGTCTCTCTTTGCCTCTATGTATTTGCAGTATTTACACACACTTACAGGCATGCTTCTCTCTCTCAGCTTAAAGTTTTCCAAATATATTGACTTAATATTGGTAGGAGCAATATTTATTTATTTTCTTTTTAAAACTATCCTTGGCATATCATACTTTATTACTACCAGTATTTAAAAGGAAAAATTAACTAAAACCATTAATAGAGATATTTAGTATTTCTAACATGTATAAATGAAAGAGCTCATTAAATCCCCAAGCCATTAATTTAAAAATTGTGATAACTCTATGAGGAATAGACCAAAACATTATCTCTTCCCATCTAAAAAAAAAAAAAAGAGTCTGATAAACAAATCAATTATAGTACCAAAGTGTAAACTAGACTATTGGGAAAAAATACCTTAGAACACCAATTATGTTTGCAGACACAGTCTGCTGATTATAAGTAAGCATTGGCAGTTCATTAAGGCAAGTTCAGCAGGACCAGCAATAGAAAGCATTTTACAAAAATCTTCCTTAGGAGTAGCTACCTATGCATGTCAATAAAAATGTATTATCGTAGAAAATTTCTTTAGGCCCTTTAACCAGCCCATAGATTAACCATCATTCTCCAGTCCTTCCTAACAGATGCTGACAGATGCCCTTGCCACAGGGAATGCCTCCAGCTAGTAAGCTCTCCTTGACATGCCCATGAACTTCTGCCCTCCCAGTTGAGATGTGTGCTTACCCAAGTCATTGCGTTTATTCCCAAGTCTGCTAATGCCAGTTATGCTCATCATTGTAAATTTATGACTTCAGTATAACTTAAATGAAGAGTGAGCATGAGAGTTATCTCTGCTAGGAAAACTAAGTCAAATGAAAATCAAAAAACTTGAAAATAAAAAGTTGCAAAAATAAAAAGCTGTCAAGTAACTGAAAAGACAGTTCTGAAAAGGTTAAAAATGTGAAAATCTAGTATTCTAAATTCAGATTGTTACAGAAAAATAAATCTAGAAAACTAGGTCCTAAAAAAATAATATAATAATAATATATATCTTATGGATGTAGTTTATGCAAAAAAAAAAAGATGAAGAAGTCTCTAACCAGAGGACATTGAATGCTGGCTATACAGCCAAAAACTGGAGAAAATGTACAATGATATATTTTAAGTTGATGTAAATGTTTTAATTAATGTCATTTTATTTTAAAATTGTTTCCTTTTTTTAACCAAGTACCAGCTCCAATCACATTGGAGAGAAGAGCTTCTACCATTTTTAAAAATGTGATTATACTATTAACTTTTCAGTAATTCAAACAAGCCTCTCCCTCTGTTTTACGATAGAAGAACCATAATATCCTCAGGCATCACCAGAGGTAGAGCTTTCTTCTTGTTTCATATTCAGACTCTAGAAGTTTTGATATTGCAGTCAGCACACTATTGTATAGTATTCCCCCATACCATTTCTCAGTGAGAGACTACGATCAAAATAAATAAATAAATAAATAAATAAAATTTTAAAAACTCATTACAATTCTAAGTTAGGAAATCCATCCTACAAGCTGACAGCCTAAGTAGGAAAATGTAGAAACTGCCCTTATCCTATTCCGGGGTTGGGTAACATTTGACTTTTTTTTTTTTCCCCAGAGCAGTAAAAGCTAGGTTAAGTTTACATTCTCCAAAAATCTCATAAGGAAAACCTTCTAATCCAAGATGACCATTACTGGGAAGTCACTTCCCCTAAAATTTGAGTCCTTTAATATTTTATTCACTTTAAATGTTCTCCATGGTCTTCCCATTCTGAACTCATCTCATCCCCAAAAGACACCAACAGCAGGCATAAGCTGCTTCCACAGAGGAGGCCAATTTGCATTAGAAAGGGCAGCTCTGCCTCAGCAGCCTCACAGGCAAGGACTCCACTATGCCATTAACAGGTGTCTTTCAATGTGACTGCAACACAGAAAGCTGGAACACTTGTCTTCCTTCCCCTAACAGGTGTTTTCGCATTGGTTTCAAACAGCCTATTACGCTCCTACTTAATAAGAAGTAGATTCTAGAGAAATGCCTGCTTGGTAACATTCTGTAAAGACTGTTCTATCAAGATTTGGTTTAAAATGACCTAATGTTATTAGGAGTGGCATTTCAGACTGTTAGTATACCCAAAGAAGCTTGACATGACATACAAGACTATGTTTTTTTGTTACTGAAGATTACAAAGCAGCAGGTGAAGCACAATGACATCTTCGTAGAGCTTTTTCAGTAATTTACTGTACCCCAGCTAGCATGCAGTTATAAAAGTCACAGTGGTTAAGCATGACAATATAAAGTCTTACAAACCTGCAATATTCTCTTGCTGTGAAGGAACAAATGCTATAAAAAGCTTCAAGATACTTATTTTTCCTTGCAAACACCAACTATTGTGCAGCAGAGCATGAGATTTTACATACAAAATGTAACTACCTGAGCCCCATCTGGCACCCTGATGATAAAGCATAACCCATTTGTCCACAATTTGGCAGATGAAGGGAGAGCTATTAAGACAGGTGATATCTATTATAATCATCTCGTAGATGATGCAGAGACATTCACCTTCCTTGCCTGAAATCATGTCACTGAGCTGGCAGAGGAAACTCTCATTGCACATCACTTAATACGAGATCCATATCAGCCAAAGACAGCATGAAAACTCACCAAGTCAGGGACAGCTTGTTACTTGCCCAGTGATTCCCAGTCTGTCACCCCTCCTAAATAACATGACAGACATTTATTTTATCAGAGCCTCAACTCAGGAGAAATTTCATGACAGTAGCAAAATTAGGCATCCCTTGGAGACGTACTCATTTTGCAAACTTCCCAAGTTACATGCTTTCTTTCTTTCTAGAATCAGCGAACTGACAAACTTTGGAGAATAACTTTGGAAATTCGAGATAACTATGGCTAATTTCATTCCCTTGAAATTGGCCTATGTTTTGTAGAAATGGGGAAGATGATATCTTTGAGATATTCATTAAGGGCTATTTTTCTCCAAATTTTCACATATCTTTTCACATTTTCCCCCATTTAACCAGCAGCATACGCTGCTTCAGGAAAAAGGTGACATCACCACAGAGAACATGAGTCAAACATGTCCTGAGTTTTTAAAGAAAAGACCAAGGCTAAAGAGAAAGGATCTGGAGGAACATATGAACAGTGAGTGGGTGAGCATTCTTCTGCCAGGTGAGAAAGAGATCTTTCTCTAGATCAGGGGAAGGGGACAGGGTCAGAGGGCAGGTAAAAAAAATTAGGAACTGCTGAGCCCTTGAAAATAGTTGCTGTGCTGTCAGGTCCAGAAAGGCAACTAAAAAGAGAACTCCAAGATGGGTAGGAAGGTCTGAGAGGAAGAGACCTGTGCTCTCCCTCCAAAGTAGGGCTTAAAGGATTGCAGAACACCCACATTTTCTTATGTCTAGCAAGGGTAAGGAGCTGCAAAAAGCTCTCCAAGGGGCATGTAAACAGATGGGCCTAAGAGAGCTCTAGAATCTCCGGTACCCCAGGAAGGCATGGGAAGCAGCAGAATGAGATGCCATGCAGTCAACAGCCATCTCAGTGAGGGTCAGTCAGCTGGTAGAACTGGAAACCTTTGCAGTAGAGACAACAGTCCTTTCCTTTCTGATTTAACTATTAACATTCATTACAGGTAACTAGTAAATACCTACTACATGACTACAGTGTGGTGGGCACTGAGGAGTTAAGATCTCTGCTTTTGTGTCTACTGGGAAAGATAGACAACAGGTAAGTGTGCATGAATGTGTGTATATATCATGTATGGTTGTGTTTTTCCAAACTTCAAATTCCGACGAATGCTGTGAAGTTGAGGTAAGGATGTCTGAGGCCCTTCTGCTTTCAGAACTGTGATCCTGATGTGATCAGCAGCTACTGTACCCACTTAGCCTAAGTTACGGGAAATTTTCATTGCAACTTAAATGAGTAACTTTTTGGCTTTTGATTTTGCTTGTGTGTGTGCGTGTGTGTGTGTGTGTGTTTTATCATTTGCCTGTTTTACAAAGAGAGATTATCAAATATAATCAGGAGTTTTAAGATTTTTCATCCCTCTTGGAAGGGAGGAATTATTTTTATCGACTTTCTTAAATGGGAAGGTCTCTTTTTGCTAATTTACAAGGAAACAGTTTCATTATAGAAAAATTTGAAAACACAACATAAGGAAAATATTACCCACAATCCAACATAGAGACCATCAGAATTAACATTTCTGTGTATTTCCTTACAATCTTTTTGCTACATGTATTTCTTAATAGTAGAGACCAAACAGCTTACACAATTTGCTTACTGCTGTTTTCATGAGACATTATGATAGCAGACACTTGTCATTTGTGGCTGCCCACTTTAGACAGCTTCCTTACATTGTGGCAGATTCCTGGGCTGTGAGTCTTGCCTCCCCTGGAGAGAGAAAAACAGACAAACCAACCCTATGACTCCCAGCCTCCCTTGAGCTTGGGTGCTGATGTGTGACCTAGGTTCTGTCAGTCAGCTGCATCCAGCCAACACTTTGATGTGAGTGTGAGCTGCATCAAGA